CGAGTCTTTGAATAACAAGCCCTGGTCTGTTTGTTTAAGGAAACGCAGGTATTTCCATCGTGCCCGGCTGGACTCGGATGGGCACAGATTTGCTGGAAGATGTGTTCCAAGTTGGTGTAAGCCCCTAAAGGTGAGATGGCAGAGGGAAAAGGCACTTAGGGAGAGGAGCTTTAAGTACAATTCCAACATTAAAAAAACCGCCATGTTGTGTTGTTTTCTTCCTGAAGGAATTCGTGACCTGTCAGAATTTGGACCACAGAAACCTCTTCGACCTCCTCCAGATGTTGGAGTACGACCCAGCCAAGCGCATTACTCTGGAGGAAGCACTGAAACATCCTTTTTTCTCACCCTTGAAACGGCAGAAAAGGAAGCTGCCTCCTGTAGCTGAGAAGGCTGATGCCGATGTCACTCTAAAGAGACAAAAAAAATATTAAATTACTTATTGCCTATAGTTATTTTGTAGATGCCCTCTTTTGTGTTAGAGCTTTTTGGATACTGAAGTTTAATCCCACCGCTGGCGTAAAACTGACAAGCCCGCTTGCATTTTCTTGGTGAATAAAAGTCTCAGGCCAGTTGCGCGTTGAACACGTGGAATAGGTCACCCCCTGCTCTCTAAACTAGGCCTCCTAACAGCAAGAAAGGACTATTTTAATTGTTGTCTTCAGCTGTCATCAGAATAACAAAAGTCCTAGTACCTACCTTCCCCTCTAGTGCCCCTTGAAGGACTTTGAGCTGATACGCCCCGTTATCAAGTGAGATAAAGCCACAGAAATTCCTCGCCCTCTCCGAGTGGTGGTAGGTTCTGCCACATCGGGCAGTAACTAAGAGCGCGCAGAGTGGATTGGAAGCGGGCCGTCTGGCTGTCACGTGGGCTGCTGTAACGGGGGATGGCCACTGGGAAGCCTTGACAGGGGTTGTCTGAGGGTCAGCTCTGCAGGGCTGCCTGGAAGGGGGAGACAGGACATGCCTCACCAAAGAACTTGCTCGAATGAAGTCCTGGAGGACGCAAGGCAGGCTGCGCCTGTTGAGCAACCTGTAGGGAGTAGCTGTCGCGCTGTCGGGAAAGAGGATAACGCACTAAGCGTCCCTTTGGTCAGATAGGCTGTGGGGGTCCTTTGATAGATTCTGTAACTACGTTCTATTCCATTTTCCCTTAGGGAATCCTGTAGGAAACTGAGGAAATACCGTGTGTCTTGCCAAAGGAGAAACACACAGCAGGTTGCAACAGACTGCCATCAACACTGATTTTGTGTTGAAATAATGCACGTATAGCAGTGTTTTAATTCCAATAACCTGTGTGGCTGTGCCACACAGCCCTCTGATCCATGTGATCTCTAATGTTGTTATTCTGTCCTTCCAATCACCACCTGTTCCTCAATTATAACGGGTAAATCTTTCTGGCCAAATCTTTCAAGAGCCAGTCAACAGCAACATGATCTTTTATCTGTGAGATAGAGGTCAGCTTCCACTCCCTTCAGGATGCTGCTCCCAGACCCAGCCCAGAGAGCAGCTTCCTCACTGGCGATTCTGCAGGACACAAGGGGCCACAGTCAAAAGTCCTTTCTTGCCGTCTGTTCAGGCCTCACGTCAATATTGCTATCGTTTCACAGTAACTACCACCTCCATTTTGGGGCCAATGTAAATTTGTTGGAGGAAGACACACATCTGTCAGCCTGAAAGAGTCATGGGGTTTATAAGGGTTTTTAACAAGGTTTTATAAGATTGCTGTTTTATAAGGCCGGATAAGTATTCTAATACTGATTTAGCGCATAGCCTAAAGAGGTGCAACACAGAGATGCAAATTTTGCACTTGAATCCGCTCTCCCTGACCACAAGTGAGGACTTCTTGCCCTGTTGTCTCTATTAGGCACAATACAGGACAAAAGTCTAAAAGAATTTCAGATACCTTAAGTCCTTTGCAAACAGTGAGATCTTGCACTTTATAAATTAAGGGTGGCTATGTAAAGTCAGTGGTCTAAACTTTGTAACCAATGCTGCACCGGTTCCGACTACATCCAGTACCACAGTCACGCATCTGAAAATGTCCCCTAGTGTTCGTACCTGGTATTCCTCACCAAGAAAAATTCCCTAAAATACATTTAGGGTAAATAAGAGAATCATATTGGGGGCAAAAAAGGGAAAAAATAGAAGTCCTCTGCGGCAGGCGGAGGAAGCAAGCAGCCGATTCAATGTGAATGATAGAGCAAGCTTCAACTTTATTGAAAGAAATCACACCTTATATAAGCACTGTACAATATACTACTTGTAACTCTATTAGATACATTAAAAAAGCTACATTATAGTATGTCAGCCATTGGGTACACCTAAAAGGTCACATTATAATATCCCAGCCCCTTGTGGCATCTCTGGTATGCATAAACATCTTTCTTGCTGTGAACCTGCTTCTCTCCCAGGGTTGTTTTGCTTTGACCCCCAAGGTCATAATGCGCCCCAACTTATCTCTGTGTTCTCACAACAATCCTCGCTAGCACAACTGAGCCCTGGGTCTTCATCCTTGTTTACAGAACTGTACCCTGGGTTCTTTCCTTTGTTTACCTCAGGTGGTTGGGACCGACTTCTGTAGGGAGCTATGGCCGACCAGCTCCTGCAGGGAGCTATGGCCTTGGTCTCTGCAAGCCGTTCTCCAACAATTCCCCCTTTTTCTTTTTGTGCAGGCTGCACAAGCAAAATTTACTAATATTTCTCATTATACAACTATATGCCATCTTACTACTTACTACAATCAATAATACTATTCCTAATCACCGCCATAAACTGTTAAAGGTACCCTATTAAGTACAAAGCATCCCATATTAACTATATTCAAAGGATAGGACTAAATACTACAAAATAAACAGTAAGGAAAATATGGAATAGCACAATTAATAGAAGTACTAATACTCAGATCTGCAATGGTTAGGGAACCCTGGATACAGCGAAAATTTAGAATGCCCTTCCTCACAAACTGGAAACCCTAC